CATCCCTCTCTCTAGAGAGTTGAAACGTTAACGTAAACGTAGAAATTGACAGGTTAGCATTTTTTAATTCTGCATGTTAGCGTTGGTAGTTATTGACGTACATCAACCAAACTATACTCTAAAAATGCAGATGACTCCTGATTATCAAATTTGGGATCCCTAAGGTGTTCTGCATCAAGGAGTACGCTCATTTTGAAAAGAATAAATGTTCCGATCTAAACAAACAACCAGAAATAACCAATATAAAGCGAAAACAACATATATTATAACGTTACAATGACAGTGACGACTTCATTTCAATTCCAAGACAATACGTAAACTTCATTTTCCGTATTTTCGATTTAGTTTTTCAATTCTCAAGATGAATTTTGTTCATCTGAAGACTTGGGAAAAATCGAATATTCTCGGATTTGTTCATAGACTGAAGCAAGGACTAAAGCATATTGCTATGTTCAATATAATATGAACCTGATTATTTTCATAACGCCCAGTATGTATATGAATTGACAGTCCATATGAGCGCGAAATTTGAAGATAGATTCAAGAGTTATCTCATTCCATATAATGATCATCAAAATCAAAATATAAACTTCTCATAATTCCTTAATAATGAAATGAAAATATTCAAAAAATATATGTTGTTCTGAAAGGACTAGCGAGACATTAAAAACGAACAGGAGGCTAAAATGTTGAATGTTTGTTGGTTGGTTCATCATTCAGCTGGACAGAGTGTCCTTTGTTTGGTACACCGATGGTTCGAAAATGAAAGGAGGGGTAGGCGCGGGTGTATATGGACACGGATGTAGACTATTTGAAGCCTTAGGTCACTCCCCCACTATCTTTCAAGCTAATATACTGCTTTGGAACACAGTTGCAACTGGGAAAGGACAACAGAGTCACACTTATATGGGTTCCAGGGCATGAAGGAATCAAAGGAAATAAGGCAGCTGATCGCCTTGCGAAAGAAGGTGCAGCATCTGCACTCTTTGGTCCTGAGCCGTTTTGTGGGATGAGCAAATGTCACTTGAAGGGAGAACTCAGGAAATGGAAAGAGATTGAAGAGTTCTCCTACTGGAGAGCAACTCCAGGTCAACGACAAGCGAAAAGGTTCATCAACCATTCGCAGAACTGAGCCAAAGAGCTACTCAGCCTCAGCAAACCAGAGATAAAGTTTATCACAGGGCCTGGTGGAGACTGATACTTGCCGCTTTTGCAACAATGCGATCGAAACCGCGGAACACATATACTTTGCTCATGTGAAGTATCAGTCCGCCAAAGGCTGAATCACCTAGAACAGGTCTACCTCACACCTTCTGAGGTGGAAAATTCAACCGTCAGGAAAATTCTAGGCTTCATCAGAAGTCTAGGGTTAGAGGACTTGAACTAGATATGGGTAATCACAATAGATCTTCTACGTCGCAGTTATCGAGAGATCTCCCAGCCTATACGACCCATCTACAATCTGCTTCATCAAAATATTTCATAAACATCGCAAAAAACTGCAAGGTGATATTTTTGCTACCTGGGTACACTCCCCTAGAAATTCTAGATCAAATCTCATTTGTCCAGTAGATGTATGATGATTTTTTTGAATAAACCATGGGTTACGTTTGGTTACGTATAAAAATGTCTTTTCTCAATACCTATCATCGAATAACCTATTTACTCCAACAATTCCATGGTACTTTACATTCAGAACCAACTACCATTCTCGCTTTTTAATGTATGGTGATGAATGAAAGCGATTCATATATCTTATACTGAATTCAAAATGGATGATTCAATGTAACATATAAAAAAACTAGTTTACATCACACCATCTTTTGCATTATTGATGTGATCTTGTAAGTATATAATATCTTGAATGGAACCCAGTATTGATAGTGTAGGTTTGTAGTAGAAATATAACATAGGTGCAGTCATTTCGAAACTTTCATTTTCAGTATCACTTTCGTCTAGGTAATTTCAATAGTTAGTCATTGATTTGAGACATCATAGTTAGCATTTTTATTAGGTAGGTAATGCATATAAATTTACAAAATCAATTCGTATCAGGTGCGAGCTAGGTAATTCTGATTAAATGCGTTCTACCTTATTATTTATGGAGATCTATTCATTTCAGGCCTAATTATGAATACTATCAAAGTGAATTATTACAGCAAAATGCAATATTGATCGTCATGGTAATATTTTGAGCATCATTTCGTTGATTTGGTACATTTTTGTCACCATCACACACTTCTGATCATAATTGACCTAGTATCAACGGATTCAATTTGGAAAGAATACAGTGATTACAGGAAAAATCAAATATACAGGATGATCCACGTTTGAATTATGTTGTTTTTGAATTGATCACCATGGTAAAATACTGAATTTTTTTATCGCTTGGAGCGCACGAAAGGAAATCACTATGGGAAATTGAATTCAAATATATATTACACAATATATCCCTTTCTGAGAAATCTTCTGAAGCAGGAGAGGGATTTTCATCTTCAATTTGATACATTCATGATGGAATGGCCTTTATTTCTGAAGCCGTTACTTTGACGCTTGTTTGGACAGAGACTACTCTGGTACTCGTCGGGGGGTCTCGGGCGCCAGATTGTTTATGAGGTGGTTTTCTCCACCTGCTCTGCACAAAGCAATTTTTGTACAGAGGCCCAAAGTAGCAACAGTGGAGACAGGTAAAGGAGGTATACCTACCTTGGTACCTACAGTATAAACTAAGGGTCAATGAATGTTATTGAATCGACCTGAAATCAAGAAGCCACGGGAATGTGGGCTACAATTACAAACCCTGGGTTTAGCCTGGAATACTGGTTGCTATTTTTATTCTGGATGATTACAGGAATCGAAGCAAATATCTTTCGAGCCTCTGGTATTTTCAGGTTAGGCCTGGAAAATTATTTATTCAAACTATTTCATCAAGTCTACCTGGAAAAACGGAAACACAGTTCCAAATGGATTGAACACATTCAATTCCTATTTCTCTTTCCATTTCCTTCGATTTTTTAATTTTTCAATATCGGAATTTTTATATTTCCTGGACAAACGGTCAAATATTGCATAAAAAAAATTGGGGGAAGATATGTCCCTATATAGGCCCACCTATTTTTCACGCCCATGATAAAAATTTTGGAAAGTCCAGATTATTTCCATCTCCGTTTGGCATGGAAAGTAATAAACATGAACAATATTTTGTTATCTCATCACAGAGGGTTCCGGAAATGTTTACAAAAAATCATCGTCTCATGTCCTTTTTCAGATGGCTCTCCAGGCAGCCAGCCATTTCTAAGCTCCTGTTCATATGTGAACTTTTTATTACTATTTTTGTTCCCAGAATCTGTGGTTGAAATATTCCTTTGTAATTCTATTCTATTACTATTCCTGAATATTCCTATCTATTCTAGTTTACCAGATGAGGGAATGACCCATGTTATGTGGGATAACCTGTACTATACCGTTACCCCCGATACAAGTTTGAGACATTTTCTTACGAAAATCACCCTTTGAAGTATGAAAATTGGGTCATGAACATATTGAAGCGGTGACAAGAGCAATATAAAAGCAATAAGAGCGTGAGCGTCGAATAAAGCAATAACGATTAGAAGTACGAAATTCTCCTTCCTCGAGGTATTTATGCTGGAGCTTCGATACTCATTGTTCAATTAGTTCATACTTCCCAAGCATCTTGCTTTAGTCAGCAAAATGTTACGAGGCTTCGTTTTCAAATTTGCAATCGAAAATGTCTTGAACATGACCTGAGATACCCAACATATTCATATTTCGCCTCGAATAAAAAAAAGTCTGATATCGACACGAGCTCACAAAATGTCAGTTCATATAATAGGCTTGGTAAATTTTCGGAAATCTACGATACTGAATTACCAATTCGATATTATGTTTGAAGGTATAACAAACTGATGGATGCGTTTTGTTGAATGTATAAAGCCACTACTAAGCTGCTCAACGAAATGAACTTCGTGGGCCAAGATATAGGCTGAATTATTCAAAATCGGATTACTCATGGATCCCATATAAGTATAATTTCTATTCGGGTTTCACATTTGCATAGCCCAATCTTCCAGTTACTCGTGGGAACGATATGAGACTACAAAAATTCCAGATGAACGTTCTACACGATGATAATTGAAGTATAGTGTGAAATTTCGGCGGTGTAATTATGATCCCGTTCGAGCAAATACATTTCAGAATTTTATTTCGACCATGATTAAGTCTAAAGCTTGATGTCTTCTCTCGAATTGATCTCGACATTTTTGGATACATCAGCTAGTATGTCGGAGATATATTCTTTTGAATGATTCATTTCATCAACGAATAATTGAATAACATCGTGGCTAATTCTGACTGTCTGATCAGACATTTGGACACCAGTGGCGTTGCTGAGGATATATTATTGTTCACTTGTACGTCTTTGACGAGTGGTTCTCAGCATGTAAGCGTTCCGTTTCATAATGGTTATGCCTCTCATGCCAGTTTCCTGATCATAATTGATATATTTTTTTCACCACCGATGAGTTGCATGGTTGTGAAATTCCAAAGCAATTTCGAGACCAGACATCAAATCTCATGTTCATGGTGAGACTCTTAAATTTCATGCACGGAATCATGTATATGTCTATCTCTTTTTATGCTCCTATTGTTCTGACGTGTATAACTAACTGGATGATTTGGCTATAGCCAACTGTGAACACCGAATAGAAATAATAATAATTATAATAATAATTATAATAAAGGTATTCATCAATCTCGAGTCGACAAGAAATTATTAATAAATAATATAGAAGATAGGGCAAGGTTAAATTCATTCTAGAATCCTGAAAGGGGTCTAGAATGTCTGTTTTTCCACCTAACCCAGCAAACAGATAGACATCTACGAGAAACAATAAGGAAAATAAAGAGAAATAAAGAACACTTTGTATGTAATCATTGGTAAAAGACTTCACATATTCAAAACTATACCAACTATTGACGACTTAGTAACCATTCGAGTATTCTGGATCTGAATGCACTAGCAGTTGAGTACTCAATTCTTGATGGTAGTTCATATCACATTTCGATGATACTGTAACTGTATGAGCGTTGAAAGTGAGTACTTTCATGTAGGGGTACTGTTAAGGTTCCTTCAGACCTGATATTGAGGTTATGAACATCTGTACGGAAATCAATTATGGGTTCCATGAGTGAATCGATTCTGAACTCGGCTTTTATTTTCGGTCACGACGTTTATTTTGTTGATCAGTTTATATTCCACCTTTCATCAGGCATAAACATGTTGTCGTTACAAAAGTGATCTTTTGTACACTTTCGTTCTCAATTTGTTGATTTGCATCTTCTACTAATGATGAATCGGGTATACAGTGTGAGGAATGTTACGTGAAGTATATTGGACAAACACGTCGAAGCATTGACACAAGATTTGAAGAACATATTGCTAACTTCAGATATATATGGTTTGATGAATCAAGTGTCGTCCAACATATCCTCGAGAATAGTCCTTGCAACGAACTTTTTGATCTTTTTTAACACGATTATGTGTGGCTGAGGAATGCTCGTTCTGAGGCCCCTTTTTCAAAAACGGTTGCGCTCTTAAATATATGTTTGGGACAAAATTCATCGTAAATAAGATGTTCTTCAATTATGATAAATTTTGTGAACTTTGTCCTTGGATAACTTACGACGCAGACACGAGAAAAGTTCCAGAACGTTAAAATTGAGGTGTACAGGATCATACCGTATATTTAAACAGCTTCTACAGGGTTTATCATTGGAGATAGAGAGAAACTTCGAATACAGAATTTGTAGGGTTTGTTCTGAACCTCCAGAAAATTATACCAGATGAAACAAATGAATATCGCTGATATCAGAAATGGGTACCAACTTCGTTATTATATAGAACACCCTATATCTTTTTCGAAAAAATTTTAGTTTTTTTTTTCCTGATTCTGAAAATATATTGGTTATTGATATTTGGTTCAACCGTTTTCGAGATATTCGAGGTTTAACATTTTGGATTTAGTTTTAATTTGATTCCACCAAATCGCAATTACCATGAGGAAAAAACAACACATACGCAAGTTGTCAATAATAAAACGTTCTGTTATAATAATATGTTCGTTGCATAGAATTTCGGAAGAAATATGGGTTTCAGTGAAGATGAATAATTTGAAATGATTCGTTTATTCTACAAAAATAATAATAATGCAGTGGAAGCTCGAGAGCCACCTCATCAAGTTATGCCCGTACGGCATCACTTGAATGATCGTTATCAAACGTGGATCGGAAAATTTGGAACAATGGAATGGCCGCCGAACAGTCCAGATTTAACCCCTTCAGATAACTTCCTATGGGGCTATTTGAAGAATGAAGTATATAAGAAAAGAAGACATTTGGCTGATTTGAGAGAAAGAATTTTGGAATGCATTAAAATATTGAACAATCATCACTCCAACTTCATTTGCAATTCGATAAATAAATTGGATAAAGACTACAGAAAATGTATACAAAACAACGGTGGTCACATCGAACAACTGTGAAATTGCATCTCCTTCAGTTATCAAAGTGAGTTTTTTTTTTCTTTCACGGCAGTTGCGATTTGGTAAAATCTAAAATGTTCAACCTCGAATATCTCGAAAACGGCTGAACCAAATATCAATGACCTATATATTTATGGGAAAATATATAGGGTGTTCCATTGAAGATAACGAAGTTGGAACCAATTTTTTATAACAGCGATATTCATTTGTTTCATCTGGTATAATTTTTTGGAGGTTCAGAACAAACCCTACAACTTTTGCTCTCGAAGTTTTTTTCTTTCTCCAATGATGAACCCTGTAGAAGCTGTTTAAATATATGGAATGACCCTGTACACGAGTTTTCCGCTTATTATCTCTCATTCCGAGGTTGACTCCTGTTTTGCTCAAGTGACTGCATCAATACAATCAACTAATCTTCATTTCCTTTCCAGTTTTACTGAGGACAGCAATTTAGTTGCCGAAATACGTTTTTAGGTTCTTTTAAATATTAATGTGGTATTCTGGTAATCGTTTGTATTTTATTATTCAACCAGACTCTCCAAAACTTCAAAAATACAATAGAGTTTAGTAAATTGAGCACGGTTCGCGATCATACTTAACTTGATTAGCAGTGCTGAAGGTTTGGCCAAAAACGTGTCGGAAAGCAAGCCGAAAACAAGAGGTCGAAACAAAGACTAACCAGAAAAAAGGGCATCCGTCACGTTTTGCTCGTCATGATACACGTTCCGTACTGGTACAGATCAAAGAGCAACATCAGAGTGTGACAAAAGGGTGGGTAATACAGCGATAATGAAGAAAGATGTGACAAGTAGAAGGCCCGAAGTGAAAGGAAAAACACGAGTTTCCCATTTGGCACTACGAAATACATGGAATCAGCGAAATAAAACGTTTAAATTAGGTGATGAAGCAACAATTTCGAATCTGAAAAATTACCCCCATGTAAATAAATGATTGCCAAAAATTTGGGGCATGATTTCTCAAACTATGAAAACGCTTCATTTTCGTTATGCAGGCCGTTGAAATTGAATGGAAATACCCTTTTTCTACAAGCGTGCGTAATTCACCCTATAACCGCACGCAATTTAGTTCGGGAAGTGTCATTTTCCCGCAGTAGTGCGAGAAAAGTTTTTCCATATTAGTGCGGGAAAAACATTCATATGTTATCCTCGCAAAATATTAGTGGTGGGTAACACAATATGACAATTCTAGTGTTTTTTCGGTGCAGTATTCAGTAGGTTTGTACTTATCATCCATCAAATTGCATTAATTATTGTGAAAATTAAGAATGATTGAAAATTATTGATTGTTTGTTAAATAAATCCCCGTATAGACTTTGATTGATCTGACATGGAAACTAATTATTGTCATGTCAATTAAAACACAAATCGAGTAGTGTAATTCTCAGAGTGACAGACAGAGCGTTACTGTCATTTTCGTTTACAAGTGTGGAAAGTGATTCTTTCCCGCACGCGACTGCCGTTGACACGAACGACGCGAAGCGGAGTTCGGGCAAGCAGTCGAGTGCGGGAAAGACACTTTCCGAATTAGTTAGGAACAATATTTTGTCTACAAGCGTAGGAAATTGATTAATTGGTTCGATTAATTATTCATGCAAATAGGAACAACTAACAAGAGGAATATATTCTCTATCTACTAATTATTAGTAATAGCTATTGTGAACTTACAGTTTGACGCATTATGTAGGTTCATTGCGGAAGCCAGCAGGCCCATAAGGTGTTTGGTCTCTAGGTTTCAGACACTTCTAGGAAATGAGCCAAAAATACGCATTCTTCATTCGGTATTTTCATTTCTATATTGTTGCACCATTCAATAAAATGCGTGTATATAGCTTCTCATACCTTTCTTTGAGACTTCTATGGCAATAACGCATCTCTATCGAATCCCATTAGCTAGAAGTTTTTGATCACATTGTGGCAATTTCACTGATTCAAAAATAACAGTAAAGCTGTGTCTGTCACTTCGCCAATTACAAACTTATTTGTGGTTTGATTGGCATGACGACAATAATCGTTTCCCATCAAATCAATACAAATCTATAGGGGGATTTTCATAATAATAAATTTTAATTTTTCAACATTTCTTAATTTTCACAATAAATTGTGCAATTTGATGGATCATTCTGAACATACATACTTAATACTGCCACAAACAAACTTAGACTTTTATATTCCATCACCAACCACTTATATTTTGCGATCTTATCATATCTTTGTTTTTCCCGCACTAGTACGGGAAAAATTTTCCCGCACTAGTGTGGGAAAAATTTTCCCGCATTGTTGCGGCAAAATGATAATTCCCAAACTAAATTGCGTGCGGGTATAGGGTGAATCACGCACGCTTGTAGAAAAAAAAATTCCAGCTACAGATGCGATACCGATGAGTTATTGCCAACGAAGTTTGAGAAAGGCATGAGAAGAACTACACGGGGTTCATTGAATGGTACAATAGTGAGAAAGTGAAAACACCAAATGAAGAAGAAGTAGTTTCGGCTAATTTCCTAGAAATGTCTGAAACCTAGAAGCCAAATACCATGGGCATGCTGGCTTCCGCAATAAGCTTACCTACATAATGCTTCAAACAGTACATACAATGGATATATCACTAATTATCAGAAGATAGAGAATATATCATTATTGTTGAGTGTTCCTATTTGCAGGAATAATTGATTGAACATATCAATCACTTTTCTACGCTTGTAGAAAAAATATTGTTCCTTACTCATGCGGAAAGTGTCTTTCCCGCACTCGACTGCTTGCCAGATCCAGGTCTGAAAATGGAATAATATGGTGATTTCCATTAAGCTGAAGCATTGAAAATGTAAGTATTACTTTTATTCGTAAAATTGATGGATTATGAAGTATTATTTTCCAAATAAATCCATTTTTTGGTAAACCTTCGTATTTTCATAAAATTTGTTGTTTTCTCAAAATGCAGTAAAAGTGTGAAGAAAACTCTGAATATTTCATTTTTGATGTTTGTTTGTGACCTCTGGAAATCCCCTGTCACAGATAACAAGAACGATATACAGGATGAACTCTTTGTTATCAACGAAACTATCGAAATTTTTCAAGAACGGTCCTATATCTTTTCGATTCTGAATGAGTCAGTCGATTAATGAATAGTATCGAAATATTTTAGGGAAATTTCAGACGAATCTAAGAAGCTATTGAAGACTTATGACCAAAAGATGTTTTTACCAAATCTTATATCTTATTTATTTATTTGAGAGAGAAATCTGATAGACATTAGGTATTCCCCTCTGGGGCATCTATTCGTGGTTGGAGTATGTACAGTTCCTCATGACTTACCTTGTATATCGATATATAATGATCCACCTTCCTCGTTTTTCAGCGATCAAATTTTGGACGTTATGTGGGAAGCCACAATGATGGATGCAGTGTGCTCAACTCTCGCAAGCCGCTCGTTTATTGTCTCAATCATGGAATACTCATACGAATACAACTCGTGATACTATTTTCCTGAAAATATTCATCGATTGACATACTCCAGCTTGCTGCTTTCATTTCGTTCATGTCAATGTTCCAAAACTTCACACCTACGGCTCGGAAGTTTTGATTAACAATGTCATTTGGCGAAATTATTAGGCTTCAAGCTGTCGTAACAATCGCCGAATATTTCAGACAAGATAATATGACTTGTGGTCTAATATATGAGAAAATAACAACAATAGATCGAATTTGTATTTGTTGTATCAACTTTCATAAAAGAACATCAATAATAGAAGATATGCACTCACCTCGTTGTTGGTGTAAGCGGGAATGATGGGACCATCGTTCGCTTCCCATTTGTTGGCTATCCTTATCGTCTCAGCAGTTTTCTCTTGAACCGATTTGTTCTCGTCCAGCAAAGTCAGTTCGTAGAATTCTTGAATATCTGGAACAAAAATGTATATCAGTAACTTTTTCAATGCAATGATTGCATTCATGTGTATGATGAATTTATATCCATCGTACAGGTCGTGGAATGAAACTCTGAATTGAGAAAACCCAATAACGATTCTGTGATTAGAGGTGAATCAAAAGAAATTCCCATCGTTCAAGTTTGAACCCCTTGAATGGGCAAGAAAGTATTGAGAATGAATATCGTCAGATATATTATGAACATGAAAAAAATTGTATAATTACAAATCAATACATTGAGAATTAACATTCTTTATCTGATAAAAATATTGATTCTTTCTCGGTATATTCGAAACAAAACAACTACTTCCCTGGTTGTATGCCACGACGAATATTTTCATTCAAATATATATTGGTAAACGTGTGAAGAAGTCCATATTGCTCGAAGTGGAGGGGTAGTGTTTGAAGGAAGAAGTTCATAACGTCCTAAAGAAGTCTAAACTTATAAAAGGAATATGGTAATAGTTGTTATTACTTGTTAACCATCAAAATTTAATAATATTCAACAACTCTAAAGAACAATTTCAAGTAATAACAACTATTACCATATTCCTGTTATAAGTTTAGACTTTTTTAGGATGTTGGCTGATGATGGGCTTATTATAAGTCCGAAACATGTCCCCCTTTTGCAACCTATCAAATGTCGTGGAGAAGATTTCGAAATTTATTCTATTCTTATTATATTGGAAAGTTGTATTTAACAGAATATTATATTCTAGATTTGAAAGAGAATGTAATTTCTCAATTCCAGAAGATTCTATTTCCATATCCTCGTTTAACGTTTGACGTGGTAATACCGATTTTTTTATGCGAAGTTTCGTATTTGAAGAACCATCATCAACTTTCGTTTTTTAAATACGGCCCTGATAATTCTTCCACAGATTCTGAAAGCTCATTTCATTCTGAATTCAACCATGTATTATACAAGGTGGTTTGAATGTGTTCCGAACTATTTTTAGTCATCATCAATGTTTTTTTCGAAATTTCAAAGGAAAAATGCCATCAGTTTCACTTATTTCTGATAATTCAGTGTCAAACATTGATGGACTAGTTATTCAATACTGAAAAGTGAAAAAAAATCCACTAAATTATTCAATGCAGCGCTTCGAATTGTTTATGAATTGTATTCATATTTTAATCCGAATGAGCCTGTCATAACTAAATTTCGAACTAATTATTCCTATAAGTCTATCAATCGGAACTAGTTGATGAGGTATAAGTTTGTTGGCTAATTTTCCTTCAAAATAAGTGGAACTGATGGCATTTTTCCTTTGGAATTTCGAAAAAAAACATTGATGATGGCCAAAAATAGTTCGAAACACATTCAAACCACCTTGTATAATACATGGTAGAATTCAGAATAAAAAAGCTTTCAGAATCTGTGAAAGAATTATCAGGGACGTATTCAAAAAACAAAAGTTGATGATGGTTCTACGAATACGAAACGTCGCATAGAAATATCGGTATCACCGCGTTAAACGTCATCAAAAGTTGCTATGGAAAAGTATTCTCAGTTTTCCTGTATCTCTAATAATAACGGAGAAAAAAAATAAAATAGAGATTCCAAAAATTCACTTTTTTCGATATAACTGAAAAACTAAAAAAAAATTTGAAAATTTTCGAAGGCTGTTGGTATGAGCCTCCGAATGCGCAACTTTTTAATCGACTTCGTATCTCCTATCGTTTCCGAGATCCCCATGCTGTGCAACCTTATCTTGGACAGACTGTATAAGCCATAAGCCAACAGGTAAGCCGAGGTATACCAAGAAAGAATTCATATTTTCATCAGATAGAGGATGAAAATTCTCAATGTACTCATTAATATGTACCTATCCATTTTTTTTTTTCATGTTCATAATATATCCGAGAATATTCCTTTCCAATTCAATGAATAAAGGTGGTGTCCATAACACAAATCTTGGACAAATTGAAACACTAAGGAATTCACACTTAATACATTACACTTGATACATGTTAATATACGTATCACGGCGATATTGGAGCATATCAAACAAAAGCGAAATTCAACATACAACATAATGTAGTATCCAGATCGCTGAAGGTTCACATCGATTTATTGGGCCATCATTCGAAATTAATATTTCCCAACATTCACTTCATATTGCTTCAAAATTCGACCAATATAGCTGGGCACATCAGACAGTATTTTTCATCATGCAAAAATAGTTTCGTGGCAACGATGCGAGTGATATTTCATTAATTTCGCTCTCGAGTTCAAAGCTGCAGATAATGACATTTCATGGTTAACATCGATTTTGTATTGAGATTCGAGAACGCTACAGGCTACTTTATCAATGAGTTTTGGAAAAATAGAATGTATATTGTATTATCTAATGAGCGAATGGAATTGAAAACATACAATGTACACCATTGATTACTCGAGAACGTCAGTAAAACGAGAGCAACTTCGTGTTATAGGCGTCAAAATAGTACACTTCCCGACAATAAATTCCGGACAGTGAAAATTGTTTGCCCTGTAACTTTCGTAATACTCTTCCGATTCCGATGAAATTTGAACCAAAGCGTAGAATTATGTTTCGCAAAATCAGCCTGATATTTTGTTCCGAAAAACATCTATTGTCCTAATCATTATACAGGAAAAACAAAAGTAACTTTTTTACCCACAACTTCTTAACGCCCTGTGGCAAAAGTGAGCAATTAAAATCAGTTTCATTATGTTTAATATTGAGGTGTGTTTCCTTCTCAATACATCAGTTCTTTGATTTACGTCAATATCTTCTTTTCACGAGAAGATACAAAGGTTTCAAGAATGTATGGCATTTTCTAATTTTTATCAACAATATTCCACAACCTATACGTGAACTCATTCATCACACTGGTCTTTGGTTGCGTAGTAAGATCAAAAGTATTGTTCAACAAAGTGTCAGTATTCTGCCATTCCATAATTAACTGTTTTTTTTGTGTGTTGAAAATGAGTCCCGATGAGGATGTTCCACGTGCTGTTGCCTTGAATGATGATGGTCGTACTGTATATTGCAGACTACTCAGGCACAGTAAAAAGTACTGTACAAGATGCGATTAGTCGGTTTCGTCAGACTAGTGAGTACATACGACGTAGGGGATCAGGTAGACCACGTGTTACCAATCAACGTGATGACCATCTCATCAATCTAACAGCATTACGAGATCGTGGCACACCATCTACAGTTATGAGTCATAGAATACAAGATGTACCTACGAGGTACAATAGTTTCTGCACGAACCGTAGATTGAAAGAAAGAGGATTAATGTCCAGAAGACCCGCTACATGTCCTCTGTTAATTCCTGCACATCGCACAGGGCGTTTTAATTTTGCTCTTGAACATAGCTACTGGAGAGCCCAAGACTGGGCGAATTTGTTATTCACGGAATAAGGAATAATTTTGGTTCTATAACATTTTCAGATATTTCCATTTGCTTTCGAGATATTTGGTATCATCTGAGAATAAAATTTTCAACACTTTTGTTATATCTTCCAATCAACAAAAGGAAAAAATATTTCATGGTTGAGTGAAAGTCGATGATCATCATCGATCGATAATGTTTTGTTTTTCAATATATCTTCATAGTACCCTATGGGTCGTTCAAATTTTTTTTTTTCATATTTTTTACTTCATTTCCTCTACTATTGGGTTTACAGAAAAAAATTTGGGTAATAATTTGTAGAAAATGTTCCAGTGGATAACTTTGCACTCATGATAATTTTCGATTTTTCCATTTGTTTTCGATATATATTGAATTGAAAGGATTTCAAATTTTGATGTTTTGATTTTTATTTGTTCTTCCATTTTTCGATGGATGCACGAGAGAATGGTAATATAATAATTTGTTGCGTCATCGGAGAGGCATACGGTGCATTTTTCAAATTTGAATTTAGTCTATTGGTTCAGGAGATATGTCGTTTCAAAGCGAACCGTGTGTTTCGGGAAATCTCCTTGAAAAACCCACTTGGAATCTTCCGACCCTGCTCAATCTCAATAGGCTTCGTCTCTCCCTGATAAAGTTTTTTTCACCAAAAATGAAATCGATCTGACCACTTTTGCGATCTGTAGAGTGGTCACAAGAAACTTTTCCGGTGAAAAATCGAAAAAAACCGGAAAACCCACCTTGGAGTTTTCCGATTTCCTTCATATTTCAATGACATAATATTGTTTTGAGAACAATAAGATGGCAAAATTTCAAGTCGATATTTCAAAGGGTTCCGGAGATATATCGATCTATGATCACCACAGAGTACAGACAGACAGACAGACAGACAGACAGACCACACACAAAAACCAAAGTTGCTCAAAATTCGATGGGGATCATTTTCTCCGAAGTAACTATACCTCTATCTCGCTTAGTTTCCGAGATAGCATTTTTGGCAAGGCCGTAGTATACTCCACTAGTATAGCGTCGTATAACAAGAGCAATTTTGTGATATAGCCGTAGAAAATAGTATATTGTTCAACGAGCACGGAATGATAGTCATTTCCGACGAGAATAAGGTTTGCAGCATGAGCCGTACACGAATGCTGCAAAACATACGAGTGGGAAATGAGCATTTCCTGCGAGTTATACACTATGCCTTCATTGTGGAATAATAACATTTCACTCTCATTTCAATAACATTTCATAATATAGTTCATAACTTTCCGAGGTACATGAATCACGAGAGTTACTGGCTCATTCTCACCACTTCTAGTGGAAATAATAGATAAAAGTGTATGAACCTGTCAACACAAATTCATACCACCAAATATATTCTGGATATTACTAGGAGAAGATAAAAGAGCAAAAATATCGAGGAAACTCCGGGCACATGGGTACAGTGAACCTATATATATGAATATGTGTGAACTGAGTAGTTGATTTATTTTATGGAAATTATAAGTGGCAAAGTTTTCGTTAACAAAACTTGAATAAAGGAGTTATATATAATGAACTCCATTCTCAAGATAGCTTCTTGAAGTT